AACCCCTTCTTTTAATTCCTTGAGGACAGGGTATCTTCCTCAGCTGGAATCTCCTCCATCTGAAGAAAACAAGAATCCAGGTTTCTGTTCCTGGCCATTACCCTAGTCCCTAACCTAGTGTTTGGTAACTAGGAGGCAGTTCCTCCAGCGCCTCCTTCGCCTGTCCATTGGGAAAACTTCAGATGTAGGGCACTTACGGTTCACCTTTTCTATGGCACGTATCAGTATCTTCCCGTTGCAGCAGCTGTGGGATGGAGGGAGGGAGGAGAGCCCTGATGGAGTGACGTTTAGACTAGCGTGTGCCGTAGTGTGGCCATCCTGATAGAGCAACACAAGATGATGCCAGAAAGTGGAGGACTGTGCCTCGAAAGGAGGTTTGTGTCCTACCTTCTCTCGAGGAGTTTTGCCTTTCTCTTTCCTGCTGCTCGTGCAGAGACCACCCAAGCACAAGGGCTGAGGGGGCTCCAGCACCAGCAGGCATGGAGTGGCCTGATTCACACCCGATAGCGGGAGTGAGGCCATCCATGCAGGGCCTTCCTTCCTTGGGATATAATTTATTATTCATCACTGTATGTAAATCAATCCCTCCAGCCCCATTGATTGCTTTTTGGTGTGTGCGTTGACATAAATATCTGTGTATTTTTCTTTAATTTCCCTCAACTTGTTACCAGCCCATACGGTGATGTTCTGCACAGGGCCAAAATAATTTTCCTGGGTGCGGTCACAGCACGGGAGGGTTGTCTGCTGGCTCTCTGGCAGGATGTGTGTTTGCATATGGGGATTTCTGCATATTGCCTTGACCTTTGCAGCACATTGGTTGTTCAAATGTAACTTGTGGTCCACTATTGGCTTCCTGTAGTATTGCTGCTTCCAGCTTTCTCTCTTACGTTGCCAATCCCTTTTCCCAGATGTGTTAGCTTTTTCCTTTTGCAAACTAAATTTCAGTTTACTTACAGCTCATATTTCTCACAGACCCAGGACTCTGTGAGTCAGTTGTCATATTGGTTTTATACCTACGTATGAGGATAAGAGATGATCTTTGTCTTAATATTTGCAAAGGTTCCCAGCTTGCTGTCCCAGATGCCTCTTCCAGAACATGGAAGAAAGTGCTAAGTGAGGCACATCCTGGCAAGGAATACGCCTAAGCAAGGCATCTCATGCCAGGCACCGTGCCCTACTGTAGTGGCATCTTTTGTCATCTTTTTCTTAAACTAATTAGTTGCTAGTTGGTTTTCAGCCCAGATGTCACTGTTTCCATCTGAGCTACTGTAAATTTGTATTTCTGTAAGGATTTCTTCAGACGCTATTGTCTGGAATCCAATTAGGTAGCATTCATTCAGGATTAATCACATGTGGAAGTGTTTGCAGATTTGAGGTTCCTGTGTTCTTAGCAGCGTACTATTACCACTGTGTTTCATTACCCTCCAGCATGCATGGGTTTGGGCATCCCATGTGTTCTAGGAGTAGCCCTGCACAGCTCCACTGCAGGGCTGGAGGGTTGCTGTCCTGGTTGTTAGGGAATAGGAGAAGGAAGATGATACCTATCCCATTAGTTTACTCTCTAAAGACCATGTCCCAAAGGCAGCAAATGAGTTTGACTGCATAAAGATTCTTTCTTTCAATAAAACTGCTTACATGTGTGCTGCCGTGCCTGTAGAAACATAAAGTAGGACCACAGCCTAAGGGAGAAGCCAGACGTTCATCTTAAGAAAGAAAAAAATAAAAGATGACATTCCTTACTGCAGTGCCTCTCCAAATACCAGGGCTTTTGAAAGATATCAGTGGTGCAGCAAACTCAATAGATAATTCTTTTCGTATGGTGTCTGTATCAGGTGACTCACATATGTTCACATTTTCAGGTACCCCTTTTTGCTGCTTTTTATCAGGCGTTCCTTTTCAAAGTCTTCCTCTTGTACAAACTTTATTTTTCTTTATCACAGTCAGTATTTCTATCATAGCTTTTAAAAGAAGGTAACGTAAAGTTATTAAGCCTGTGGTTAGAATTTTAATGTCTGCAGTGATATATCATCAGTAATAAGCTTGTTCTACCTGTTAATATTTTGTTTTCTCTGCATTTATTTGAGACACTCTGCTTTGGAGATTTTGATTGTTGTTAAGGGAGTGGGTCAGTTTTCTGAGCAGGTTTTTTGAATTGGTGCTTCTGGTAAAATGACAAGAATTCCTTGTTAAAAGATGAAAACAGATTAGAGAAGACACATTTAGGCAGGGCTCTTCAGCATTAAAAATGCTGTGAATGTTCTCTCCTTATCTTTTGGAAGATGTTTTATGCCATCTCCTGCCTTACAAATGAACGTATTCACCTGCGTTTATAATTGCCACGTTATTGTGCTGGATGGGATCTGATCATACAAACACAACGGCTTTGTTTATGCTGCCAAACTGTATGCCCAGCTGTGCTTGCAGGATCAAGCCTCTAGCTGTTAAGTTTCTAGAAGCCCATAATAATAAAGATTTTAGTGGCAATATGTTAAGAAGAAACACCAGCGTCTTTAGCAGATGTGGGAGCAAAGGGAACAATTTTTTTAATGAGAAGCTTATACTTTTTCTGAAACATTTGCTGCTAGATGAAAGTGTTAGTTTACTTGTTTGTCAAATGTCAGCAATACAGTTGACCTGGCATAATAACAGGGTTGTCTCTGAGGCAGATTTATTGGAAAGGACTGCCATCATGAATGCTACGTGTGAGACCGAATTGGGGACCTTGACAATTAAAAGCAGTGTGAGCTAAAACTTGTTGGTTGTGGAGCCTGGTTTGGACATGTCATGTGTCATCACCAATGTGTTAAAAAGTAAAGGCAAGTGACACTTAGAATTAAAATTTTGAATACTGACTGAAAGGCTTTTTGGTTGGATTTTGGCGATATGTATGAGGTGTATGTAAACACTGTATCTGGATGTATGTGCAGTGTTCCCTAATGTCCTTCCTAGTTGCAGATAAGTGTCTCACCAACCAAGTTCTCTTCTACGTGTAATTGCCTTTTTCCAGTTATTTGCACAATATGAGTCAGAATAATATGCTGTTTCTTTTCAGCTGCTTTTTAAAACAAAATAGTAACCTGATTTAAAACATGGGTTTTTACTGAGCTGCCAAGGGAACATGCTAAGCTCCCATGCTTAGTATGGATGCCATTCCTGATTCAGAGTGTTTTAAAATTTTAATATTAATGCATGCAGGAAAACAGCTATTACAGTTCCACACATATAATTTGTCCCTTGACAGCCTGTATCCTTTTAAAATCATTGTTCCTTTAAAATTAATCTTCTGATTACCCCTCCAAGTCTGGTACAGAAATGAGAGAGAGTGATGGCCAGAAGCCCTTGTTGTTGTTTGGAGAAAGAAAGTTAAACAAAATCAGAGACTTTTGGAAGAAAGCAGATTCTGGAGTAAACTTTGTGACTTCTGTAATGTAACTGCAGCTGAGTCACTAGGTTTTGTGGATAACTCGTGTTCATGGAAACACCATATTCTGAGAGGTTATTTGAAAGTAGCACTAAATACTTACACATCCCTCATACACAATTTCAAGTTAATGGATAGAAAGAGAGAATGTTACAAAGTAACTCTTAATCCTACCAGTGTATAAACACGTAGGCAACTTCGAGCCCATGATTAATCCATGTAAATTAAGAGAGTACTCACATGCTCAAAACTCATATTTAGCATTTGTAATGTAGAATTTATTTTTTCAAATAATGGGCATGCCATCCTAGCAAGTCTGGTCACTACCGTATTGATGTATTTGATTTCTTTCTGACATTAATGCCACTTACAGCTCTAAAAATACATCTTTTTGTTTATCATGTTTTTATTATTTTGTTCAAGTAATTTTTTCTAACATGGTTTAGTAATTAGGATTTAAGTTTGTAGGTCTGCATGCACATAATGGAGTGCTTTGAATATTTGTATATAAAGAATTTCATTCCTGTAAGTTGCTGCTTAAGATTTTTATTTTTTTTTTTTTTAGGAAAAGGTTCATTTTGATAAATAAGATTGTTAATCTTTTAGGAACGATCTAAGTAAATTTAAGCAACATTACATTTTTGGTCAAAACTAAATGAGAACTCTCATGCTGAGGTTTTGGAAGCAGAAAAACAGGCAGGTGGGGAGGAATATGACTTGGCTTGGAAAAACCCGTTCCTGACTCTCTTTAGGCAGACAGATTAAAATTCCTAAGAGTTTAACCTAGACTGGGGGACTTTGCAAAGAAGGTATTTGACACCGTAATGACAGCTCCTGGAAATCTGAGCAGAGATTGAAAGCAAACCCGGTAAAAATACCAAAGTTGGGTCCAAGTGCTGCACAGAGACTACTGTGACTGTGTGAATGTCTTTTCCTTCCATGACTTTAGTGACCCAGTTGACATGGGCAAAAGTTCCATCTTAGCAAAATAGTCTGCCAGTTTGATTGGTTGTTTTGTACCACAGATGGTGGCTAAGGCTGCGGGAGTAGTGGAAACAATTATTTACAGACAGTTGTTAGGTTTATAGCAACCCAAGGCTTTCTACAGATGCTGGGTTCTTCTGCAGGTACCAGTTTGCCGTTTGTCAGCAGAGGAAACAGGAAAACCTGCCATTGAAAAATTATTGCCAATCACTCCATTTCATTGGCTTTGCAATTAGATTTCACTGCGTCTCATTCCCCCAGGCTGTGTACATGTACATGTTATTTGCATCACAACAAAATAATTGGCCTGTGTGCCGGTGATGCTTGGTGATTATACTTACCCTATAGCCCCAAAATCCAGACTGAGGCCTCTGCCCTGCTGAAGAGTCCCAGTCCACCATCTTCACGTGAGCCCCGTAAGTGCTGTGGTTTGGTGCTCTGAGCGTGCCTGGCCTTCTGCAGTTCTCAGCACCAGGACAAAGTGTCTGTTCAGGGACCACCACCATAGTCGGTACCTGCAGAAGATCTCCGTCCATGTGGCTTCTGCGCTGCGTACACAGCTCAGCTGGTGCAGACTGCCCGGCCCTGCAAAAAGATGGGTAGGTAATAGGTAAATTAGTTTATGATGCTGTGAAACAGAACTTTATGTTTTGAAGTAGTTGCTTAAATCCTGCAAATAGATATTCTGGTGTGAATACATACACTCAGGTATTTAAGACCATGAGTCTTTATGGTCTGTGGGTCCACAGAGAGCAACATAATGAAGCTGAATACATGCTTAGCTGTGTCTCTGTTCCCTCTGGAGGACTGGTCAGGACACTCGTGTGTGTATTTTCATCTCTACTGCTGCACCCAAACCTCAGAGGGTTGCAGGACACTAAAGACATTCTGTGCTTTTAAGGGACAAAGATTTTGTATTCCTTTTTGATTCAGGCACTTGTTCAGTGAGAAGGTGTGTTTCGGTCCCCCGATATTATACTCCCTGGCTGCAGCTGACAGTAACAAAACAGGTCACAGGGGAGACAAGCTGGAAGGTTTTCTGTACCCAAAGGCCCAGATGATAGTTGCAACCTCCAGAGTGTCAAGCTTGAATCCTCCCTAGCAGGAGCCTGCGGGCCGCAGCAAGTGAAGCAGATTGTTCCCTTCTTGTCTCTAGTATGTTTGTGTTCACCCTGATGCAAACTGGAGGCTTGTATTCTGGGACCTGCAGTCTTCATCGATCTCATTTCCTTACTCAAAACAATTTTAGCCACAAGCTGTAGTGTCAACAGGGTTTTGTGTACTTTGTGGGAAGCTGGACCAAATATTGCACAGGGACGCTCGGTATTCTTCAGCCTGGATATATTCTGCCAATCCAATTTTTTTAACTGACTTTTTGGGGAAGTAAATTACGTTGGAAAAGAAATAGTAAATTAAGCCAGCCAAGTCTAGGAGACTGCACTGTTCTAGAAATTTGCTTACTTTTTGGCTTTAAGTGTGCCAATATGACTATAAGGACTAGCAACACTTCTTTTAATAAGAGCTTGAACAGTGCAATATGGAGCTTTGGATATGTGGAACAGATGAGCCTCGAGTATAAAATTTGGTTGTGTGTATTTGACCAAATGTCAGCGCTGTAGGCAGGCTGCATCTCATTGAAAAGGTTTTGATCAAGTTGACTGGCCAAAATATCCTATCTCATCAACACAACATTTTTCCTTAAAAACAAACAGAATCAATGAAATAGTAAAATTCTAGTGTAAATATTGGGAGGCCAAAAAATATTCCTCAATCTAATGAGTTCTTAAACCATCCATCCACTCTTTCTAGCAGATGTGATACGGAAGGTGTCAGGGTTTGTCGAGCACTTTGGGGAGGAAGATGATGTGACTTTTCATTTGCCTTTGGCTTATGAGGAGAGAGTGGCAGGAGAGAAATATGGTATTTGTGTATGTGCGGTCTCATTTGTTAATATCTTGACTGGATAATTAGTTTTTATTTGCTGTACGTCTTCCAAACACATTTTTGTATGTGCATTTCTTGCACACTTGTATGTTTCAAGACGACAATATTTGTAGTAAGGTGATAAAGTAGGATAACCAGATTTTGTCGTGAGAAACTGCTTTCATTTGGTGTTAGTGGGCTCACTGTGGTTTGCTCAGGTGGATGTACAATGCAAACAGTATTTTGATATCTGAGGAATAATTCAAACAAAGGACAATCAAGCTTCACTATGCTTAAAGGGATGGAAAGTAAACACAAAACGCCTCAGAGCTGGCAATATTTGTTGAAAATGAACAACCTCTCCTCACCCATCCACAAATAAACAATACTTTTGTGAGCCATGAAACTTAACAAGTTTATTTTTCTCTGGCTTGCCTTTATGTGGATTCCCTGTTGTCTGATGTTTTGGTTGAGCCTGCATTGCAAGCTGTCTCTCAGCATATGGGCTACTTGACTGTCCATCTTCTGATGGACAGACTATTAATCACAAAACATGGGGAAACTTAAAATCTCTTTGGCCTTTCTCCTTTTGTCTGGTTTGGCAAAATTGTCTGATGTGTCCCTGAGTTATTGCAGGTAAGAGTCAGACTGAAAATAGCGTGATCACATCCTTTCCTTTGGGAACAGACTGGGGGAAAAACATCCTAGTGGTAGAGCACCATTGCTTCACTCACAGTGGCAGGGAAACACTTCTTTTGGAGAAAGTGGAGCGTTTTTGCAGCAGACTAACTTTGGGGTGTGCTCACTGGGAGGATTACAGTTTGGTAACCTGAAATCCACCTCTGACAGAGCTGGAGGTATTTGTTTTTAGTAATAGCAGTGCTTTATAAGGAGAATAGTACCATAGTCCGCATTTGTAAAAGTGAGCCTGAAGGAGATGCAGAGATGCGGCCAAGGTCATCCCAGAGGCCAGTGGCAGAGATAGGACTGGTCTTTGTATCCCCCGAGTCTCCTCCTCTGACAGTCTTCTGTCCACCAGCCACAAAAGCTCACAGAGGACTTGAATCACATGAATAGATCTGTTATCTACAAAGTCATGCATATAGATACCAGTCACGCAGAACTAAGCTTTGGCCCCATTTTCATATTGGAGATTAAAGCAGCTCTGCAGAAAGTGTATTTCAACTTTCTGTCTTAAAAATATGCTGCTAATTAGGGATGTAAAGGGGCTGAACTCAGCTGCAAGACTGCTGATCTTTCCTAGTGAGACATTGCCTGCCAGCATTGTTTGGACTCCAGCTAACCCTTCATTGTCTTCTATCTCGTTGAGGTCCTGAGCATGCACAGAAAAAAAGGAGGATTGATGTCTTTATATTGTCATTTCTGGCTGTCTGCAGGATACCCTTCAGCCATTTTCAGCAGTGCTCAAAAGTATGCTCTGCTGTTTTTAATCTTGTTTTGCTTTTTGTTTTTGCTGGTGGCACTCTTCCATGCCCAGAGACTTTTTTAATTTTTACTTTTGTAGCTGTGCAATTCTACCTTATTAAGTTGGATTCTGCTTCTTGTCGCACCCTTCACAGGGTTATCTTTTTTAATGGGTAAAAAAATGCATATGCCAGCATTCCACGCTAGGAGTTCTAGTATGTGATGTACATCGGTGAAAGAGTTGTGCTCTGCTTCAGATATCATATAGTCCTGATAAATGAGAGAAAAACTCTGCAGCCTCCAACCAGCTTTAGTTGGATTGCTGCTCAATTTAAGTACTAGAGAATTTGAGTCACAGTTTTTAGCTTGGAGGAGGTTGGATATTTTTTCTTCTCTTTTTTATTTTTTACGGGTTTGGATCCTCTGGGGAAAAAAAATATTTTGCATTTTACAGAATAGTATTTTAAATAATGGTTTAGAAAAGATGCTGCCATACTGCTGACTCCCAGTAGCATTAGCTATTAAAAAGCTTATTAAATCCATCTGAATAAACCGTTGTAGAAAAGCAAAATATCCTATTTTAATAATGGATTTTGAAGAGTATTGCTTTTATCCATCTAGAGTTTTGCTAATAAGCTAACTGCAAAAGATCAAGCTGCTTGCATGTGTTGGGCAATAATAACCAACTTGAACCACTTTCCAGCAAAAATACTATAGGCCCTTGCTCGACTGCTGTGCAGTGACTCCAGGGATTTCAGTGGGAGATACTGATCTCTGCAATGCTTCTGTGCGCTTTTGCCAATCAAAGGCATTTACAGTATGTCAAAACAATCAGTGATTACTGCTCTGCAGTTTTAATTCTCTCATTTTGCAAAATAAAAGGACTTGTTCTTGGGGTTTCAGTGGCCACACAAGCATCTCTGCATGCTGAAGTAAAGCTTTCTTGTCTGTCCATGCGGACCTGAGAGGTATTTTTGCATCATACTCTTTTTTGCAGTGTAAAATTCTGTTGGAAAATAATGGAAGAGGGTCTGGTCCGAAAGCCACCCTGGCAGCCCGGAGTTCCTGCTTCTGAACAGCAGCTTATCCACAGCACAGAGATTTTGTGATAGCCATACAACGTGACACCTGCTGTCCCTCCGTGTGGAAGAAGATGCATCTGGGATGCCCTTCCGCCTTGACGGGCAGAGCTGCCTCTTTCTTGACTGCTGCAATAACGTAAACCTCCCAGAAAGCTGCTTTACATAGACCAGCAGAGGGACAAAGCTTGCCGTTTTCTCTCTGTGTCAGAGAGACATGTTTCCCATTTCGCAGGGAATGTAGAGCTCTGCGGAGCAGAACACCCAGGAGGGGGTGCAGCTTCCTCTGGTTCTGCACCAGCCCTCCCAGAGAGCTCCTCCGCCTGGCTGGAATATGCCACGTTATCCCACAGGCAGGCGCGGGGATGATTTGTGCTTCTGGAAGCCACTGTTGTTCTCCGAGGGCAGCTCCGTGCTGTCCTCGCAGGGCTGCCGCTCTGCAGCTCCAGTCCAGCCCACCCAGCCAGTGCGTCTCTCCCCAGGGTCCCGAACCTCACAGCAACTGGGAAGAAGGTCTTGCAGTGTGAGTGGTGCCAACCCCAGCCTGTGAGAACCAGGTGGAAATACTACCTGAGAAGTCAGCAATTATGCACCACCACTGAGAGCAAAATATTGGGGCTGCATGTACATCCTAGCCTGTAAACGGCAATGTAAGGAGACAGATTTCTTGCTCGCACACTGGTAGCCCCTAGCAACACCATCTGATAAAGCCCTGCTCTGGTTAGAGAGGTCCAGGCTGAATTTTCTCTTCGGTGTTCCTGACCTTAGAAGCCTGGCATTTGTTTACCGAAAAAAGCACAGTTACGTCTTTAAAGCTCTGCTGCTTGGCTGGCAAACAAATGCTGGGAAGTGCGGCTCTGCTGAGGTTGTGCAAAAAGAAAGCAATTGTTATTCATTAAGCAGATGACAGCAATGGGAGCAAAGGGGATAAAATTCGAAATCTGAAACCACCTGCTTTAATTTTAGCCATAATTGAAGCGGCTGCCCATGATGTTGCTGATGCACGTATCAGATTTGCACGCCATGCGCTGCTCTCACTGATTTCTGTAGCAGCAAGCTGCAGCCCTCTGTCTGCTCTGGTTCAGGAGGGGATGGAGCTCCTGTTTGATTGCAGGTTATAACGGGCACTTTAGAATCTGTTTGTTTCCTTCCAGGAGCAAAATGCGATCGCAGTCTGGCTCTCTGATAGACAGATGCTTTAGTCATTAGTGAGGTTTCTGTGACTACAACACTGTGTCCTAGCATGGGTGCACTTATCTCTTTTGTTCCTGATTCGAAGCAGTGATGCTTTTCTCGCTCTTGCGCTCACGCGCTCGCTCTCTTTCTCTCTCTCCCTCTCTCTCTCTCTGTCTTTGATCTTGCTGATACGGGGAAAAATATCAGATCCAAATCTTCATCATATTTAATGAAAACATCTTGTAGGATGGGAATAAATTGCGACTGAGTGCAGCAGCTGGGGGCTGCAGTGTCATTGCTTGTACAGCTTGCTTTCTGTTACCACAAAACTGCAGCAATCTTCAAGGAGTGCTGAGGTTGTTCTGCAGCTAAATAAGCACTTAGGGGCTCAGCATTCACAGAGAGCTATGCTGGTTTTGCTGGGAATGGGTAGACTGCACAAAGCTCTCCTCTTGTGTCTCTAATGCAGGATTCGCGTGAAACAGGTAGAAAGAGAAGAGATGTTTCCTAATGGCAGAGGGTCTCATCCTTCACTAAATTCCCTGGAGTTTTTGCCATGGAGTTAAATGGCCGTAAGATAGCAGTGTCACTTCATATTCAACCTCATTACAGTACTAGCGACACAAGCCTGAGAGCTGGGGAGCTCACAGCAAAATCAGTGAAGGCAGGAAAAGTCTTGACCTCAGCTGCACAGTGAAATGTTAGGGTGAGAGCGTTAACCGTCTGTCCTTGAGCTGTTTAGCGCAGATTTATATTGCATGTGTTTGTATGTGTATGCCAACTTTCAAAAGCTATGAAAAGCTTTTTTATGGTTTCCTGTGATGATACATAGTCAGGGGGGATACTCGGATGAATAAAGAAATATGCCACGAAATGGGGAGCAGGTGAGCTGCGTGGCAGATGTGTGTGCTGTCCTTTGTTGATTTGGTGCTGCTGCTTAGCTAACAATGTACAGTGCTGGGAATATGACACGAGGCTTAATGCCACTTGGGATGTTGCTTAGGAGAAGATCCTCACTGCTTTGGAGCATAGCACGTCGTGTGATGTAAGATCCCCATTCCCTTCTGATCAGCGTTCCCTACTAAGCATGTCTTCATTCCTCTGCTTTACTGATCATTTACAGCTGTTCGCTTTATTTCATGAGAAATTCTTAAAGGGCTGAGACAGTAACTGGACTGCGCTGTTCTGTAATGCAGCCCAGAGCTGGCGCCGGGTTTCAAGCAGCCAAATGAGATTCGCACTCAAGTCCCAGCAGACATTGTTCGTCTCTGTCACGGGAGTCCACATTTTTCTGGGGTCTAGTATCTCTCTGGACATCTTCCTTGTTGTAATAAAGAGGAAGATGGCTATGGCATCCAGACAGTTGAGGTGTATTACCCCCGTACTTGGTAAACTGCCAGCACAGCCTTTTTTGGTCTGATGCGAAGATACTTCCATCTTTAAGGAGGCATAAAATGTGTTGCAGCGCGGGACATACTGTCTCCCTGACTTGCTGTCAGTTTGTAAAGTGAGTTGCGGTGTTCTTCCCCTGCAGTCTTTTTATCACTGTTCTAGTCTAATACCTGTATTTAAATCATTATTTAGTGAACAAATAACGGCATTATGGGCACTTACTTAAAAACAACTAGTTAATGTTAGAAAATAATGAGTTCTTAAAAAAAAAATATCTTTGGCAGTCTTTCCTCTGTGTATTCCTGGTGATAAAGAGTACACGAAACAGCCTGTCAGGTCGTTTCAGTTCCTTCTTACACACAGCTGAGCTAAAAGTGAATGCACGCTTCCATCTTCCATCAGTGTGTATCTTCCTCCTATGTGCATTTAAATAATAAATTCTGCTTTTATTTATCAATTCATTGCTTTTTAAGTAAAAGAAGTCAGGTAATTGCTGTGCCCACAAGGCATGTGACACCTCTGACTATCACGGAAGGTCTCCTGCAGGCTGTGCTGGGCAGTGAGTGCACGGTGACACGTGCCCAGCGTGCCAGAGTCCCACCATCCACAATCCTGGGTCGCGTCCCAGCAAAGAAACAGGGAATGGTTTGGAAGTGCTCTTACATCCCCTGATTTTGGCGTAGCTTCAGAGAATGCTCCACTTAGACCTAAAAGATAGGCATCCATTTCTTCTGCAGAAAGGAGTCTTGTGATGTTACAGCTCTACATGTGGCTCTGGTTTCTCTGTCCCCAACAGGTGTCCTTGCAGAAAGACCAAAAGGACTTGAATTCTTATAAAAGCTCGTACTCCTTTGAGAGCTACATAGCCAGCAGATGCTTTACAGTGAAAGAGAACATCCTTTGAAAACAATCTGGTGTTTATTAATCAACAAGAATTCAGTGTTTGGGGTCCTTCGACAGGAAAAGAGAAGGAAAACACATGTGGGCCTGGCCTCCTGAGTGAAAACATGCAGGTTCCATCCCCGTGCTCTGCTGAGGAGCAGATTTTGTATAACATTGGTATGTCAGCACTTTGCTCTCAGTTCCAGTGACATTTGGCAGGATTCAATATGCTTATGTTGAGATTGAGTTGCCGAAGATGCGGGCAGCAAGCCATTCGCCTGCTCACTGGTGTTGCCCTATAGGTATCTAGATTCGTTAGGCTCCCTCTTAGCCAGAGAGTTCTCTGGACACTTAATTTTAGACGCCCACATATGCTTCGAAGTGCCATTTCTGGGAAGGCAGGCACTTAGATCTTATTTAAAGCCGTGTTTCTGGTTTATGTGGGTAGGCACCTGGACTCTGTTATTTTTGTTGCAAAGGACTGAAAAATTAGATACGGACAAGACTAAGTCATGGGCCTGACCTCCTGCCTGCGACCAGTGCTCTCACTTGGGCATCAGAAGATGGGCTCTAGGCACTGCTCAGCCTGAGGGGTTTGTCCCAGTCCCAGCTGTATCTCAGGAGAGCACCCTCACCATCCCTCCCTTAGCAGCTCTATCTTGAGAAGTATGAGGCCAGGGATAAAATGTGAAGGAAGAGAAGGAGTACACAGGGGAGCGGTGACCAAAACCAGCTATTAGGGTGCTGCAGGGGAAGGAGAGTCCCAGGCCCTCCTCCTTGGCCTGCGTTATGCATTTTACGCTGAGTACCACCATCACCACCGGGAAGCACCGATGGGAGATTGTCTGGTTTTCCAGTTGCAGAGTCTCAGAGATACCATCTGTTCCCCATTTGTTGCAGAAGTTATTTAGGTGACTGTGTGGGACAGACAGGATTACCCTCTGGGCTTTGGTGCCTTTGATGAGGCAGTATCTGAAGTTAACACTTAAATTAAGCAGACTTGATTTTATTGCCATTGTCTATTATAATGCCCATGAAATCATTAAAACTTTTTGTCTGCTCCTTGGTCTTCTGTCGTCTCCCTGTAGTGTTTCTGTCATATGCTGACTTTGTATGACCTGTCTGCCTGGAAAATCAGCAGCCGTCTTCCCTTCCCCACCCCAGCACACAGTGGGACCTCCCAGGGCTGTGGGGTACCTGCACTAGTGCTTCTGTGGCTTGGTAGAGATTCTTGGACGAGGGACACCACTTTTGGGAATAACCCTTTTTCCATTTCTGTCTCACAGATTGATGAACTCCCTGAAGGAGCTGTGAAGCCTCCGGCAAATAAATACCCCATCTTCTTTTTTGGGACTCATGAAACGTAAGTGAATGAACATGATCTTTTCCTTTGAAAATGTCTTCTTCCCCTGCAGCTAATGTCGTCTCCACTGATTTTATTGGAACAAATCCTGACTGAAGCCATTGGAAGCCTAGAGATAGGTCCTATGAGCCCAGCTCAGTTGCATTAACACACGGAAGTGAAACCTGAAAGTAGGTAGGAACGCTGCTGCATGGATGGTATACCATGGTCTAAGCATAAATAATAGCCAGTTACCTGTGTTTTCCATAAAGAAAAGTGTTGGCATAAGTTTATTAAAGGATCATCTGAACTCAGATGCAGGGGCAAAAATCTTCTACTTGGATGTATGTGATAGCAGAGATCAGGCTGCTGTATTCGGACACATTTGGGTTCATGTCCTGTGTGAGAACTTGCTTGGTAGTTTGTAAAATGAAAGAAACAGACCCCAGAGTCTCACACAGTCCTCACATAGCTTTAAAATGTATACATTCCTGTGAGATTGCTGCTGGGGATGTTGTGGGATGGAGCTCTCAGAAGTGACAGAAGAACTGAGCTGGCTGAGCTAATAGGGAAAGAAAGGAATCAGAAGAGAAAGGATAAGTTAGGTCTCGTAGTAATTGCTACAAAACACAGAGTTTCAAAATTATGATGTACATGTCTATTTTAAACTATGTCTGAGGTAGTTAAAAAAAATAAATCACAGTTTCTGTTTTGCATGAGATGTTTACATTTTACAACTTTTCCTTCCCCACTTGCAGGGAACGTGTTTTCTAGAATACCTTAAAGAATGGAAAGATGAAAAAATGAAATTCTGATGACATTTAAATTTTCATTTTAGAGGTTTGACGATTTATTAAAAATATATAATTTAATTTTGAATTTAACATTTTTCCAGAACATAATAAGCCCCTTAGCTCATAATTAACATTTTCTTTTAAAAATCTTTAAAGGCAGTTTCTGCTTAATAAAGATCAAAATAGCCTTTCTTTAGTTACAATATTTCTTCCTATCGCTGTAATGAAACAACCTGATATTTTGATATATTGTGACCTACTACTGTCACAAAATAATCTAAAAAGAATACAGTTCAAATAAACTTATGATGCTTTAAAATCAGAAACCCAAATCTAATGATTTTTTTTTTTTAATGGGAACATTTTTCTTGAGAAACATTTTGAGAAAAAAACTCTGACTCTGATTATTCTGAAATGAATGAATCTCAAACTGCCAATCTCTTTTGATTTGGATTTTGTTAGCCCATGATCTGACTGTAACATCTGAAACAGGAAAACAGTTTGTAGTTACTACCTTAACAATTTAAAAAGCATAAGTGTTAAAAATGAACTGTAGATTCAGCTCTTTAGTTTTATAGCAGAGCAGTGGAAACTGTTATACTCTCCCAATGGCAATGAACGTTTTTCAAACAAAGACATAGACAATTTTTCAGTGTTTACTGTACATAAAAGGCTGTGGAAACATTTCCATACATTACTGTTGACCTAAATGAAGGTAGCTCGTGGTAAGTTTCATGCAACTTACCTTTGTTATTTGTGTTAGAACTGTTTGTATATATTGTTGGCAACAAGGAGACATCTCCTAGTATTAGCAAAAGCATAGATAAAATAATTTATTCAGATCCCTTATTCTGTTGTAGCCTTTAATATTAACAAGACATCTGTTAGTTTGGAAATCACTGTTTGGCTTTCAGGTAGAAATGCATTCTTGGCTTTGTAATTATATAATGGAGATATTTCTCAATGAGACAACTGAGTGCGGATGCCATTCCGTCTCCTGTTATGTTAAAAGGAAGCTGTTTTCCCAGACACTTGTCACCTGATGCCTTTAGACACCAGTTGGCTCTGTACTGGCAAACTTCTTGGCCAGTGGGATGATTTAAGTGAATGAAACTTTGCACATTCATAAATGCTGGGAAGAATCAGGGTATGAATGAGGCATTAGTCTGAAATAATGTTTACAGCGAGGAAGAAACGTGGTCCTGTGATTAAGGTGTCCAGCTGAGACTGAAGAGAGTTGGGTTTTCCTCTGTACTCTGCAGTCAGTTTGAGTTTGACCTTGGGCAAATCTCTGTGCCTCAGAAGCCCTTATGCAAAAAAGGGCAACTTCCCAACCTCGTGGTGATGTTACAAGAATAAATGTGTTGTAAATGGTGGAGCTCCAAAATCCCATGGTAGTGGAGACACTAGAGTTAACATTAATTGCAAAGATCATCAGGAAAGTAGGACAGTGATTATAGAGAAGGACACTGTGACTTGCTCAGCTCCGGTCATTGGTGACATAGAATCTTCCATGTGGGAATGAAGTATGTTTTTGCCTTCACTGTTTTTAATTCAACTTACAATTGGCCGTTCCAGTGCCATGATACAGAGCACACTGGATATAGATACCCAATGAAAAGGAAATCATGCTTTCTTCAGTTTTATATGAGAAGTTAGAATTTTACTGTAAAGTATGTAGAAAAAGCAGGATAGATCACCACTCTTCTTTTTTTATTACTGTGCTGCCTGTGCCTGAAATTAGTTGGCCCAGTGCATAGCTGACTTAGGCTGCAGCACAGCACAAAATCCCTCCTTTGCTGTGCTGTCTAAAAACCAATCTGGCCACAAGCACCCTGTGTGTCTCATTGTTTCCTTGTATTACTCATCTCCCTATATTCACCCATTGTTTCTTGTCTTATATGAAATTATAAGATTTTTGGGAAAGAGAACATTGTTATTGTGTTTGCACAGAATCTAGCACGTGGCGGGCTTATTCCAAGAAAGAAGCTCCCAGGCTTACTGGCGGTATAGATAATAATAAATGCCACTGCTTTTTCTGTCCAGTAGTACAAGGGGTAAGTTTTGACTCCTGGATTCTGGGCACTGCTTACATGTTTTAACTTTTCACAGGGTATTTTTAGGCCTTTGTGGATTTGTAACACATAGGATTGGAAGTTTGGTCCCTTGCTATCGCAGGCAATTACGTCATATGATCCCTTTCATAAACTGTTCAAGTGCCAGTTCCCAGCAGTAGTTAATATAATAAATGAGACTTGGTTTAGTTGTTTCTAGAGAGACCCAGCATGATTTTGCAACATCAAACATCAGGATGGTGAGCCAATCCATTAATTCAGACTCACAGCAGTAACTCAAAGCCAGTGTGTTAAATAAATAAACAAACAAATAAATAAAACTGAATAAGAAATTATGGAATGAGCAGAAGAATAAGGAAAATATTTGCACTGTTAATGTTGGGGTTTTTTGGAAGAGGAGGAATTTAAGTCATTTTTTGAATGTTACCTGTGTTAAAATGCAGTGCGTTCCTGGGACCCAAAGACCTTTTCCCGTATAAAGAATATAAAGATAAGTTTGGGAAGTCGAACAAGCGAAAAGGGTTTAACGAAGGCCTGTGGGAAATAGAAAACAACCCTGGAGTAAAGTTTACTGGATATCAGGTAAATGACTTTCACTTCTATTCCTCCTTATCTTTCTTTTCTTCTTTGAAGACTTCTTGTCAATGTAAACGTTGTATGAGTGATGTGGAAAGTCCTGGTTTGGGCTTTTGTAATTGTGTAATGTAAAGACAACTGTGGTCTTGCACTCTGTGACAAACTGAACTTTAATCATACTGCAGAGCCCTTTGCTTTCTGTGATATTCTGGGGTGGTGAAGTGGAAAATTCTGCAGCAGATTTAGTTGAATTAAAAATGGAAGGTTTTATTTACTCCAGTATAAACATGAATAATTTCTGACTTCTTCTTTCTGTTGTTTATTTTTATATCAGGTTCAGTGTATTTTACACAGACCTTTAAGGTCACTGCACTTTTGATTTTTACATTGATAATGTATAACACGTCGGACACCACTGCCAAAGTTGTGAGGGGTGAGAAGGTGGAGGTTTAAGCTGCTCTTGCGAGCTAGTAGCTGCTGTACAACAGCTCTCCCTGTTGGATGTCCGGAGCAAAAAGTCAGAGAAGCTGGAGGGGGAGAAGAATAGTTGGTGGGCTGTGTAAAACCAAAGAACTTTTCTCATTAAAAAAATGTGGTCCTTTGAAGGCAGAAATCACCTCCAAAAGAAGGCGAACACCTATTACATTATTAGCACAAAACCTTACAAACCAGAGATATGGACCACCTGCAGACAAGCTGCTGCCCCTCTCAGTTCCTGTTTCATATTTTCAGCCCTACAGATGTTTTGCATACACTTGGGGATTTAAAAAAATCTAGTGAATAGTCTGTGGGAGATGGACTGTCAAAAAGCTCTCAGCCTTCTGGTCAATGTTTGCTTTTTCTTAACACCAAGATCTTGCCCTTTGGGGGTTTGTAACAGCCATCTTCTCTCCTGAATAAGTCTCTCCTAGTGCAGCCAAAGTCTAAAAGTTTCCATGGTTTGCCCAAAGTAGAACATGCCAAGTCTCTCCACTGAGCAACCCTTAGTTCCTCGCAAACGCATTTTTGTTATCGGATCTTCTGTTTCTGTGTAAACCCTTCAGAAAACGCTATCCCAGAATCTGCATCTGATAACTGTTTTCAAGTGGTGACTGAGAAAATTGCCTTTGCAGCCCTTTTTCTTGGTAATTGCAAGAATAACCTGAGCTCTTCCTGACTATAACGATTAAAGTGTAAGCTGTCTGTTACCAGTATTTCTGTCTTCAATACTGAACAAAAATTGAGTAATAGGTTTTAATATTATTTTTGTTGTTTATGGTATTATTGCTATTCTTGTTGTTATTTCAAAGGCAATTCAGCAACAGAGCTCATCAGAAACTGAGGGAGAAGGAGGAAATACAGCAGATGCCAGCAGTGAGGAGGAAGGCGATCGGGTAGAAGAGGATGGAAAAGGAAAAAGAAAGAATGAAAAAGCAGGCTCAAAACGGAAAAAATCCTACACTTCAAAGGTTATCTTCTGAGTTTTTCCATTGTTACCCATGTGCATTTATAATTAGAATATTGTCCATCTCATGTTAATCTGTTCTTCCTTCTTCAGCATTTTGATTCCAGTACCATAACGATGGTGTTCGAGCAGGCAAAGGGAACTACTCTTGCTTTTGTAGGCAGCCTTGGTGAGACAGCATTTGAAACGGTCTGCCCTGTTCTAGTGCCCACACTTTGAAAAGGAGGTTAAAATATGGGAAGGAGTTCAGAAGGGCTGGAAAGAAAATCCATGCAAAGATGGATTGATAGTTCTGATCATCTTAGATAGCTATTTCCCCATGAAGAGGAAAAAAAAAAAGGCCTTAGGAGTGTGCCTCCTGGGAGACATGAATTTAGGTTTGATTCCTGTCCAGGAGAATTCAAGCTCCCCTCTCCCGTCTCCAGTGTGAGTGCCCCAGATGCCATGCTAAAAGATCTGGTAGGGTCAGATCTGCTCAGCTGCTCCTGTTGTAGCTGAGTGTAAAAGGCTTCAGTACCGGATACAGAATGGGAGGGAGGAAGAACAAATTCATTAAGCAGGGAGTAGGACACTCAATTTGGAGATAAAAGACCTGCATTGTAGTATCTGCCTGACCTGTTAATATCTAAGTAACAGCGTAGATGAGGAAACTAAGAGTAATGTGTCTCAGACTGCCTCATAACGGCTGGTGAACATAATCACCAGTGTAGTGACAACTTTGGGTTCAGATACGCTTCTCACTTGTCACCTGAGTGGAAGGAAACAACGTTATAGTCGCTTCCTCCAGTTCTGTGTGTGCCTCCAGGTCTGTACTTTGCTTAAAAAAATGTGGAAAGTGTGAAGTGTGGCAGTCACGTTCATTCACATTCATGTTATTCTTCTGTGAAAGTGAAAACTAAATGAAATGAAAAGAAGCAAGCAAACAATCTGATCCAGGCTCAATTTGGGGGAGAGCGGGAGTTTTTGTGGTTCATGCACTGAACAAAATGTATTAAGTAATTTCACCCCCTTTGTGTGTTTTACATTAGAAATTCAGGTCTGGTCTACCATCTTCTTTCCAGAAGACTCTGGGCAAACAGAGGATTAGGAAAATGGTGGCTTAATGCCACAATTTATCCTTCTATACTGTAGAATTGCATAACATAAAGGGAGCAGAAAAGATGTATTGGTTCCACATGGCTTTAACGTTAATATATTAAAGCTGACAGCACTAAAAAAAGTATGGAAAGCAGCTCTGCTAATGTTATTCTCATTTTACATCTCTGTGTTTAATCAAAACTTTTGTCAAGCTGGCACCATCTGTTTCATTAACTAGCAAAACCTACAGGTGACCCAACACTAATACCCATCTCCTATTACTGTGTCTGTCTTACAGTCAATTGTGCTGCCAACCTGTGTTGAACGCAGAACTTCTCCTTTGGCTTCACTGATGGCAGTAACTGCAACTACTTCCCCTGAAAAATGCTGTTCACCCTACATATCCTCCCCAATATACACCTTCACCAGGGAACCACATGATCAGACAGCATCCCACATGCGTTTCAAAAGTGTCTTTCTATAAGCGAAGCTCAGTTTTTATTTTTTAACTTTGTTGTTCATCATTTTAGAAATCCTCCAAGCAGTCACGGAAATCTCCTGGAGATGAAGATGATAAGGACTGCAAAGAGGAAGAAAATAAGAGCAGCTCTGATGCTGGGGACGCAGGCAATGACACAAGAAACACTTCTTCAGATTTGCAGAAAACCAGTGAAGGGGTAATCTTCTGTTAATATAATTCACTTCCCATGCAGTTTGCTACTGGGGGGCTTTGGAGGTGGGGGGGAAGGCACTGCATTGCGGTGACCTGCACGTACCATGTGCGATCTTTTTACATTGCATTTCAGTGCTCAGAATGTGTCCAGAACAGAAACACGGGACTGGTTCCTGCACTGGTACAAATTTTGCGCTAGAGAAATGACTGAATGGGAAAAGATACTATAAGCATTATTTTTGTTCCAACACTTACATGGATGTCAGCTGAGAGGAACTACTGAAAACCATGAGCTGGAATGATGCAAAATTGATGTGAGAGCAGAATCACACAGTTTGCGTAATGCATTTTGGCTCACTAAACAGCGTGAGCCTGCTTATCCTTTCACAGTTGTTTAAAATTTGTGCAGTCCCACTGACTTCTTTGGAGTTCGTGAGGGTTCATGTGCGCTTTACAGACTCTGCGTGCTGCAGGTTTTAGGGCAGATCCTGCTTGGGATGTGACCTTCCAAGGAGGGGATACACAGTCTGCTCCAGAGGAGGTTCATATGATCTCCTTTGTTTGTGTCAGTTGTGTGTTCCTGTCAATATTATTTTGTTGTGACCACAACAGCAGAAAGGAAGGCTGCTGAGCGGGGGAGTTGGCATGGGGGCTGGTTAATCGTCGGCCACCTTTAACAAGCGCTACTATTTCTGTGCCTTTGGAGCAGCACAGCCCTCCCTCCTCCGGCACTTACGGCTCCGGCTCAGAACCAGCTCTTGCGCAGTTCCCGTGCCAAGGCTCTGCCACGTGGCCAGCAGCCGGGCTGGGCTGTCACAGGAGCTGCTGAGTGACACGAATCCCCAGGTGTGAGGGGAAGCCAGCCAGCACGGGCTCTCTTCTGACACTGCCGAGGTGCCTTAGCACCCAGCTGCGTGCTCAGCCGCAACCCTTTCTCACAAAACACAACCTCTGGGGAGCCGCTGCCGTCTCCTGCTTAAAGACTCCTCCCAGAGCTTCCTATCCCCTTGTCTCTCTGCGGTACAGTGTATGTGTTTTGTGGCTCTTCACCTTATAAAGACTTCGACGTATGTGTTGTGAGGTCAGGAAGATAATGTGCCCTGAGGCTCTCCCACTCACCCTCAACAAGCCACTGGCTGGAGCCAGAGACTGATGCAAGGAGACGCTATGCCCGGCTGTGCCTTCCCAGCACCTCACCCACAGAACTGGAGAGTCTGGGAATGATGAGCGTGGCGAGTGCATAGTGCGTGTGTTGCCTGCTTTCTGGCTAGTGAACCCTGTGATGCTTTCATGTCTTTAAGTAGGTATTTGAGTGAGAAAACTGGCCATAATGTCCATCTGAGGTTCAGGAGGGCCTTCTTTGTTTCCCATGTTTGTAGCAGGGATGGGATATGCCTGTGAACTTCGGGCTTGCTCTCCATGTAAGGACCAAATGCTGACCGAGTTAGGTCAGTCACAGACTAAGTAGCTAAAAAGGCACATAGGACATTGGCTTTATGACTGGTGACATTCTTATGGCTCTTCCTTCTGTATGTGACATCCTTGTAACTGCTGGGAGGTAGAGTCCAGCATGCCAGAACATCCCGGTGCTCTTCAGTGGTGTCAGGATTGCAGATATTTTAGCTTCTGCGCTGAAATACCATCAACAGTCTGTGTCCTTCCTGCCAGCACCAACTCCACAGAGATACTGTCAGTCGGCAGTGTCATACCCATGTGAGGAGTTGGCCCCGCTCTGACTTCTGCAACCCCAGTGCTCAGGCTTGACCTCACACTTGAACGACCAGTCTTTAACTAGGTCTCAGATATTTTAACATTATGGGAAAGGAGGAGTTTTTGTAGCATGTGCTAAAGAGAGATGGAGAGATGGTTTTAAAGGGGAGCATGAGATAAAAGCACTGATAAGTTCAGAGAAACTCACCTCCTGATCCAGATATTTCACCTTGGGCATTTCTGCCAAAGAAACAGCATTTTACATGTAAATCCTCTTCAGCATTTCTTTTGAGATTTTGTCAGTAGTGCAGTTCCCTTTTAGGACCAGGAGGGGACACTCTATCTCCTGGAGTCCTCAAAGCTAGATCAGGTGTGTTTTTAGAAGGTATGCCTTCATCAGACACAAGGCACTCAGGGAAAGATTAATTAGATTTTTTTTTCAGTTGGTGTTAACCAGCCGGTCACACTCCTCCAGCCCTCCCGCCTGGACTTCTCTTCTGTAGAAAGGAAGGTTGAAAAAGACCAACACGTGCCTGAAGAGTTGGGATGAATTCAGAAGAATGGCTAGGTCTGCTAAAAGACACCATCATAGATAAGATTATGGTCTCTTTACAAATCATTTACCTTGTGAGAAGAGTATTGGACCAACAACACGCGATGTGAGGAAGATGGGCTTCCTCCTCCCCAGCGTGCAGCACAGGAGCTGCAGACCCACCGCGGCACCTTCCAGCCAAGCCCAGGATAGTTGTGTGGCCATGAGGTGGCGCCAAGAGCACACCGACATGAACACTGGGTGCAAACCTGCTCCCTCCCCAAAGGCTGGGGGCTGCGTGAGACTCACGCCAGAAAACAGTTTGTTTCAGAGGTACCACGAAGGCAAAGAGCTGAGAGAAACGAGAAGAGAAGCACATCTCCTTCCCGGCTTTGCTGCAAAGCCGGCTGGTAGCGGGGGCCGGGGAGGGCTGTGGGAGGCAGGTGGGCAAAGGCTGCGGGCTCAGCTGCTCTCTTGTAGCGTTCCCCACGGGCTGCGTCCTGGAGAGCCTCTGGCTCCCGTGCTCTCCTCCTCCCAGGCCTCTGACCATGCAAGAGTTGCCCAAAGGGCACAAGCAGCTTTTCTTTTAATAATACTAATAATAATGAGGTAGTCATTATGTTTTAGAGTGCCTGGACTGTAGGCTAAAGACACATCTCCCCACTTGAGATCAGAGGGAACCTTGCCTTTTAATCACACTCTTACCCTCAGCATTATGGGGATCTTCACGGCTGAAGCCGAATGATTGCAGGAGCATCTTCACCTATATTTTTTAATGAAATTTCTAACCTCCAGGTGTCAGAGGAAAGCTTGCAAATGTGAAGTGATGGCTTCCTAAAGACTCAAAACCCAGAGCAAATAAAAGTACTTCCAAAGCTATAATATTTTTTCAGCCAATTTCAAACTGTTCAAGGGCTCAACTTGCGATTTTTTTTTATCCCTGGGGTTGACAAAGCCGCTTTCTTTTCTGATCTCCATCCCTTAGTTTCTCAACTGTTCTTGAGGGCTACAGGCACTCTCAGCAGAAGAGACGTTCGCTTCCTCAGACTCAGCCACAGCTTATAATTGCGTCCTGCCACTACCTGTTTCTCAAGCTCTTTCCCTCATTGCTGTTCTTTGGCTGATTCCTTCCCCATAAAGATGCAAAGCCTGAACCACGGGGTTTTATTCTCTAATATTAATTAACTAATAATATATATTAGCTAGTGCAGTCCATCCCACAGTTTGCTCAAGTCAAGAGTCGTGGAACCCCCCATGACAGTCCTCTGCTGTTAAATAATAAATTGTTTTGGCTGTCTCAAAATACCACATAAACAGAGTATTCCAGCGGAAAGGTATTCATGGCTCTATGTTGTGTACTTTCTGTGGCACAAAATGAGCTCATAAATCAGTGAATTCATGGCAGCAGATTTACATTCCACATTTAAATCTCCGGTGACTTGTGTGTTTGGTTCTTGGCTGGCATAACTGCATCTGTATAACTGAACACCTAAGTCGCTTTTTACTTACTCGCTGGATGCCCACATAATGACGTTTGAGAGCTGGCTGGCGTCCCTGCCCTATTAGAGACCGTTTGAATGTTGAGGTCAGCGCTCAGGGTATGTGGCAAGTTTTTCTTTTGGTATTCATTATTTCAGTGACAGTCCGGACATTGTGTTGGTAAATGAGGCATTCCTTTGTGTACAGACGCATGTGGCTGCCTTTCAGGAGGTGAATGATTTTACTGAGTCTTTGAAAAATAATAGATTTGTTGGAAATGAAATACATTTTTTTTGCTCCTGGTACGGCCCGGATATTAAAGTGGGGTAAAGGACTCTGATCTTTTTACTCACGCTGACAATCAGTTACTAACATGGGAGTCAGTGGATCTATTTGTGGAGGCGACTGCTTGCCAACATAAGGGGATCAAAATCTGGTCCAAAATTACTGCCATCTGATACTATTGCAATTGGGAGAACATATTTAAAACAGCCTGTGTCCAGGACATATTTTTTGTTGTGATGTTCTTGTGGGGTAGCAACAATTCCAGTTACTGCTGTGAAAGACAAGCATTACCGCCAAACTGGCCAGAGAAACACAGGTTCATTGTGTCCTCCTGATGTGGTTTTGAGATGTTTTGTGCCTTTGCTCTTCCTGCTTTACTTCTCAAGAATAACATTGGTTACACCGCATGACAGGTTTGGGGTTTTATCAGCACTAAAAGCATAGCATTTAGGGCTCTATTCAATGTAAAAGCGTTTATGTGGGCATTTTTCCAGAAAATGAAAACAGAGTATGTATTTCTGTCTGATTTTTTTTTCTGTAATTTGAGGTAAGTTAAAATCTACTCCTCCAAAAAAGATGACCTTTGTGAAAATGTGTTTAACTCTTGCATAGGAAAAATTTCTATGTAAAAATCAAACAATGGCATACTGTGTGGTGTAAAGAGGTGCGCTGTCTGCTGCCTTCCCAGAGCTCAGGGTAACAGCACTGCTAAGTAAGGCAATGGCACATAACTCAGGAGAAACATAAATGTCTGAATGCAGGTTGAGATTAAAGCAGCATGGATAGCTGAAACATACTCTTGGCATCTCTGTGTACGTTGAATCCGGTAATCATTTTGACCTCAGACCAACATGGAATAACAATGATCATACACAGCAAGTAAATAATTCTCCTTCTGCCCATCCAGCAAGAGCTCTCAAAGTACAGGATGGCTGCGTCAGTTGCCAGGCACTGTTGAAGAAGGAATTTTCAGTGCCAGAAAAAACAAAGCAATTTGTGGGTTTAGGTTTATTCCCTGCTCTGTGTTCGCTGTCCTTCAATTTTATTGATGACTGAAATTTTTCACTCAAATCAGTCAGATTCTGTGCTTTCTTTTGTGTGCAGTAGCGTTGGTCAGCGCCGCACACGTTGCACCGTATCTTACAGTAAAGCTGAGAGACTTGTTCAAACAAAGATGATGCCAGCTGATCTGTTTCTGAAGAGACCTGAAACCATGGAGACGATGGAAACTGCTCAGCTCTGCCGCATCCTTGTTCAGCTGCCGCGGGAGCCTGGCAGCGCGAGAGCTGCCTGGGGAGGGGAAGGACCCCGGGTCCCCTTGCACCAGGGGCTGCCTGCATCTGGGGAGAAGAGAGAAACCTGCTGACTTCTGCGGCAGCCGAGAGCGTGCCTGGGAGGCAAAGTGTGTGTCGCGCTGCAAGATGGTACTGGAAACTCAGAATCCTAGAGGATGATTTGCATACCTGGCTCTTTGTTGTCCCTCCTGTGCCACACTGTGGCCCAACGGAGCTACCTCTGAGACAGTGGGGAGTGGAAGTATTAATATTCCCAGCGCCCCACCAGAGAATGGTGCCTACCCAATCTTCTGGCCTTAGTCCAGAGGGAGATTGTTGTTAATAAGTGCAAAGGTTTCATGCTCCACAAGGACAGCTTTCCTTGCTGGATCTGAGAGCAATACCGTAGGGACCGACTGTTTCATCACCCATCCTGCCCGTCAGTGCAGTGTAGCAGCTGTCATTGAGAACTTTAGCAGAAGGCATGGTTTGATTGACTGATCATTTGTAGTTACTTCAGTGGGTGTCTGCACTTATCTCTAAAGGGAAAGACACGGCAGCAAACCTCTCCAAGCCACATCTCCAAAGCATCTCTAAGTATAATCTCATTGACTCCTAAACAGGGGAGAGGTCAATGGAAGTGGGGTGCTCTGGATGAGTAGCGCATTGTTACACCTTTTGGGCTCCGGCAGTTCCTGTAAGCCATCGTGCATTGTTACACCTTTTGGGGGGAGGCAGGGCTCCGGCAGTTCCTGTAAGCCATCGTTGCATGCATGGGCATTTTATAATAACCCCTTATCATGTGTCGTTAGTCAGGACGTACCAGGACCTCCCACACGGAAAGTGCAGGTTTCCATTACTTACCCTTTGCAAACCCCTTGTCGTAGGAGAGGAGAACCACAATGAACAAACCCAGTGCAGCAACCAGACTGGGATCCCGGGCTGCCAAGTGGGCACTTGTGTGCTCTTGTCCTCTTGGATAGAGAAGCACAGTCCGCTATAGCCGTGGCATCACACACAGGTGTGATGATGGGTATACGGTGCGATGGGCCAGAGGGGGAGAGAGCTTAGGCAGCAAACTGCTAGTGCAGGCATGTTAAAATGACTTCTTTTCATATTCTCTTCTGGATCCTGTGTCAAATGAAAATTCCATCATCCCCAGTGGATTTAACCTGTACCACCCACTTATTCCTTCGTGTTGATTTTTTTCATAAACGATCACACCAAATACAGTACTGATTCCTTTGTACTGCTTGTGTTGTGTTTCTTTCCGTCCGTCAGGGTGTAGGTGGACAAGCATTCATGCTCTGAATTCATTACAAAGGAGAAGGGATGCCTTGCTCAGTGTTAGGTAGTCATGTAGCATTGCGTGTCATCATCTTGCTGGGCAAAAGTAGCGTGTCCCTGTGCCTGTAAGTGAGTGTTGCTGTCTCTGTGAAGAAACCGAGACTTGGAGACACTTGCCGTGATCCCACGAGGACAGTCGGATCCTGCTCCCACTAATGTCAGTGGAAGCGAGAGCTGACCTTGACTCAGTCATCAAGTGGGAGTTTCTTCCTTTTCTGTCATCACCTTGCAGTGAACTCCAAGCCAAACTGTTTCCTTTTCAGAAGCAACGTTCAGATACACTAGCTATGAAAAGTGGTTATCTTTCTTCGTGCTTGCTAAGTGTTCATTTGTTTGAACAAAAGGGTGTTCTCACGGCGAGGCGTTCAGAAATACAGCGGTGCCTCAGCTCTTGCAGGAAGCGTATCAGTGATTTCGTGTAGTGGAAAAATGCAAAGTGTGGTTGTGGGTGAAGTATACTACAAGATTCATAATTAAGTGATTGGGGAAAATAAAAACCCACATACATGACTGGAGCTGCTTATTTGAATAAAGCCCATAAAGCCCTGAATGTTTACTTTTAAACTGTGTTCTTTAGTATTTTCTAGTGGTATGTTTAGTTGGTGTAACGTAAGCAGTTTTCTCTAGGAAAAAAATTCTGTTTGAACAGACCAGGTGGTTACTTGTACCTGTGACTTTGAAGTGGGGGATTAAGGCATTATATCAAGTTTGATGCAGCATGATTTTCTTACATTAAATGTGGATTTTTTCTCTCTCTCTTTCAGACTTAACCAACGTAATGACTGCTGAATATTAAGGGAAAACACAAGAAGGTTACATGTTTGGTTGTCTAATATTCTTGGATTTGATATGAGTCACCACATCTGTTCATTGGTATCATCAACAGCATCCCAGTTTGTATGCACATTACTCACATTCCTATCTGTTGTGTTTGCAGAAATGACATTTTACCCTTTTTTCTAAGGGTTACTTTTTGGGTTTCATATTATTTGGTTGCATGAAGTTGCCCTTTACCAGTGGCTGAGGTTTATGAAGATATCACATACTTGAACATGTTTTCAATTCCTTTTCTAGATAGAAAAGGTGTAACTCCAAATTACGTCATTCTAAATCAGCATTTTTTTAAAAACAAGTAAATCTTAGAAATGAGCCCCCTCCATACAATACTACAATATCTTCCACATACAAACATAATTTTAAATTTCCCTATATCCATACTTTCTTGATTTTTGATCAGTTTACAACATGAAAGAAAAATTCTTCAGTTGAGATCACCGCCAAGTTCAATAATGTAATAAAATACCTTTCCTTATTAGAAGTACCTAGCTAGTTATACTCTTAATACTTCTCAAAATCATGATGTAATGTACACTATCTGACTTAGTTCCTATATGTGGAGTTAGTGAAAGTCTTTTTGTGTTTCTTTAGATTAATACAAGGATTTTTTCCAATGCCAACACGATTTGAAATCATTCATTTGGATGCTTTCCATTTTTAAGCTTACTGTGATATAGAACCCTATGGGAAACCAAAAGAAAACATCAATTTTAAATAACGAAAGGCTTAAAAAAGGATGCTGTCATTCTGGCTTTTTTTTCCTTTTGGAAATAGAACTAGACTAGTAAGTAAGCATTCCAAATCCATTATTCTGTGTACATTATTGTTGCTATTGTGATAATAGAGATTTTTATTTATTTTTATGCCAGCTTTTATTGTGAAAACATATTTAGTCTGGTTTTATCAATCCTTGTTATGCTTGTCCTTGGAACATCTTTTGCGTATTCAAGGTTTGTAGTTGACGAGTTTACTGTAAAAAACTAAAAAAACCACAACAAAAAAACAAAAAACAAAACAAAAAGAAAACAAAAAAATGTATTGTTTTTACAGAATAAATTTATTGGAATGTGTATTGGGAGTAAGGTTTGAGGTTGTAAGCAACTAAGTTAGCGTCATATTTGGCTTCATACGTGTAATAATGTGAGGTATTAATGTAAGTCAAGTATTAAAGCAAAACATTCTGTTAACATGAGTTGACCATAATAGATACAAGTGCAGGTGAGATCTTTATTTTTTCTGTACTTTGCCTTTTCTGGATAACAGGAGGTTATTAAATTCACCTTGAATGTATTCAAAGTTTCTTTAAAAACACTGGCAGCAACATGGGAGGCTCAGACCCCTGTTTGAGAGCCAGCATGTCCTACCACAGCCCAGCTGCCCTGCCTTTGGGACGTAGGGGATGGAGCTGTCCCCTGTTCCCGCCCCCACAGGGAGGCTGGGTGCTGCACGAAATCACTGCTAAGCTCCTTTTTGCCAAGAAGCATCGACCGAGATGTGTTGTGGCTATTTTGGGCCTGCCCCTTTGGCCAGAGCGATAAAACCGTGGGTTCTCTCTTCTGAGCGCTGCTGTGACCCACAACTCAGTGTTCAACGGGAGAGTGTTAAAGCATCAATGTCTTGCTGCTCTCAAAGTCCCCTTGTGCGGGGTGCCACACGCATGCGCATGAGCTGATGCTTTCTTGTTACTGATGAGGTTTAAAAAGAAAATTAAAATTCTCCAAATCAAAACAGCCACAAGTCAAACATCCCAAAATAAAGTGTTTCCAGTTAAAACGTATTGGCTAATTTCCTCTGCAAGAAAGGCACTAAATGTACTGCTTTTAGTATAAATACACATAGAAGTCATAGAAATAGTTGTAATTGCAAACGGAAACATAAACTACACGCACCACGGTCGCTGTATTTGCTGCTACTTGTTTATGACCCAACAGCATCAGCAAAAGTGGCTGCAGAGAACAGGGCCAAACCTCCCCTCCTCTCTGAAAAGGCGTGCTGCGGTGTAAGGCCGGATTGTGCCGGGGAACGAGCGCTCCGTGCCCCGTTCAGAACTGCTAGTCAGCACGGGCTTAACCTCAAGCCGATGAGCAGTCCTTGCAGAACTGAATCCTTAAAAGAATTAACAAAACTATATGATTTGCTTATCATATCTGGAGTTTTACCGTAAGAGTTGATTGCTTCTTAAAAGATTTCTTGGGATTTTTAACGAGGCTGACCCACAAGACATACTTTTTGACAAATAAAACATGTGCATGTGACAGAGTTATGTATGTTAATTCTTCACACTTCAAAATATTGACCTTCACGTTCTGCAGTAGCTCTGCATAGGGATTGCTAGCACTGATACTCTTCAGTGCGTGGAGGCTAAACACTGACATCATTATTATTATTTCACTTCATGCAGTATTTCTAAAACCGTCAAAGCAGCTTACTTAAAAATAGCTATGGGAACTGGCAACTCCGCTGCAGCGCACAGGCAAAATGTTGAGAAGTGGTACTGAAGGCAGTCGTCTTTATTTTCCCTTTTTGAGTAGGATAAACAAAACAGATGGTGCAACTTTACACAATTGTGTGATTTTACACATCTTACACACTTCATTTGGGTTCCATTTGAGCAGTTCGATTACATCCCAACCCAAGTATATACACAGCCAAAAAGAAGAGCTGAAAACAGTTGTGCTATTCCGTTTTTTCTTCTTGTTTTGTTTTCATAAAAAACTCTGGCTTGTTGACACACCTGTAAGCCAACAGCTGGGGCAGAATCCCATACATTATGTTCAATATCAGAAAAAACTGTTTTGCTTCTTCAGGGACTCTGTAGATGTAAGGAGTTCGAGCATGAAGAGAAGCACCAATATGGGAAAATTGAGCCTGTGGTGTGTATATAACGTATATATTAAAAACAAGGGTAAAGTTGATCTATCTTTTGGAAAGACAGTATAATCTGCATGCAAGTATGCATCTCCAGTGACATTTGCCAAGCCAACCCTTTTATTCCAGAATTATCCATCATACTTTCGCACAGCGGTATAAAAATCCAGTCTAAACTACGATCATTAATATCTTGGTATAAGAGGCATAAGAGGAACTGTCAGTGCCATGGTAGGAGGTTTATTTGATGCACATGGGGGCACTCATCTTTACGTCAGGTATAGGATTTCACCCTTGGCTTATAGGTGATTATTCATGCAACGGGGTCTGCGGTCCTCCCCCGGGCTAATGGCCGCTGGAGCGTACATCACCGCAGAGCCCCGCGCGCCGCAGCCTCGGCCCGGGGGCAGGGGGAGGACTGGCACCCACCCACCCAGCAACGTTGTGTTTGGCATCAAGAGGAAGCAGCCAGACACTCGCTCTGAATAACGTTAGAAAATAAAATCTTGGAAGCTATGTTTAGATTTTTTTTTTTTTTAGTCTTAAACCCAGCCTTCCACATTCTGATCCCAGAACTCCTGATGATTTCAGAAAACGCCTGCAATACTTGGCTTTTGGGCTGGGGGTGGTTCTGAAGTATAGGTTAAGTTTACAGTGAAGGTTATATGCAAAGACAAGCTTGCTGGGCTGAAGCATATTTTTAGCATAAACAAGCATTTAAAGATAGAAGCGTCAGGATAGTCGCTGTCTTTTGTCTCCATCTGTTACCTGCTATTTCAAGCCACAGCTCGTTCACATTAACTATTGTGTGTCCAATTTTTTTCTTTTATTATTATTTAGTTAGTTTGCAGTGGAGGAGATCTGAGAAGATAAACATCAGTTTGATCTTAAGCAGAGCAGGAGAAAGGGACACCAGGATTTTAGTACTGCAGAGCAGTACACTATGGCCAAATCACGTCCTCTGTTCTGGCTTTAGCAGGAGTTATTTTGGACTCAGGAAGAACACAGTTCTCTTTGCAGTTAGCAAAGCAGAAAGTGAAATACAGTGCAGGTGCTTGACTACACACCCCTCCAGCAAAAGGTTAGGCTGAGACCATACATCAAAACAGAAAAGGGAATCAGTTTCAGGTGATTCTAACCACCGCCACTGAATAGGGAGAGCTGATCGAGCAAACCTGAGTCAGGAAACCCAGTAATCAAAGAAATCAAACACAAACACTCTTCAGCAGAGTGCCACTTAGCATGTTTCTGTAAATAGCTATGACACAGTAAACAGATGTTCAGGGACATGCTATCAGCAGCCTTTTTATATCAGCCTCATAACTCAGGCTGTCCCTTGCAGCCCGTTTGTTCTCACCTGTCCTGGGCAGGACCTGCCTTTGGCACCTGGGTGGCCTGGCTCAGCCCCCTGCTGCCGCTCCTCGCCCAGGCAGCCACAGCACTAGTGCTCAGCAGCAAAGACCTCGTGTGCTATGAGATCTATGTGCTATGAGCAGGTTCCCCAGCAGCGAGCCAGCCACCATCAGGCTTCAGGTAGGAGGTTTGGGTCTGTCTGATGTTTACCTGGATGCTAACAGTCTCCTGGTGGTATTTTGGAGCCTCTTCTGGGGTGAACAAGATGCTAAGCTACTTCTCTGTGGAGGATTCCAAGGCCGGCCTGCCTGTCTCTAAGAGTGGCTAGCTGTGCATCAACGTAAGTGGACAGCAAATTCCTAATAACTTCGCCATATCCTTGTCAGGAAGAGCTGTGAGGGGCTGCTACGGAGAGACCCAGCACTCCAACAGCCTCCTCGATGCCTTTGAAGATCTAAGCCTTATTGTGTGCTCGTCTGTTATGAGAGTTGTGGTACATTAGTGAGCATTGAGCATTATAAAAAGAAAAAGCAGAAACATTTTGTTCTATTTGTAGCCCATGAAGATTTTTACTAGCTAATGATGTTCCATATAATTAAGTTATTGTTTATTAGACTTGTTTTTCAATATAACACATTGCTTTTTCCTTTCACTACCAGGGAGGGTTTTTAGGTCTGTTAAATTCACTTTTTTTTTAATTTGATTTGCCTCTGTGGAAATTGTGTTATGTCTTTAATCTCATGTGTTTCCTTTCCATGACTGTACTCTGCTTCTGCTTTTTTTTTTTCCTTTCTTTCCCCCTTTTTTTAACCCCCACTTGGGGCAGGGGGTGCATCTTAAAAGCAGACCTCTCGCTCACTACTAGCCCGGTCCTGCTCTTTCAAGTACCGGGCAGACTTGCCCCAAATCAATTATTTTAAGCAGTAGGTAAGAGCTGTTAGTTACTGTAGATCTCTGTGCCTGTTGCGCAATAGTCTGGCATTGTGGTAAGTGAGAGCAACCAGGAGTCTGTTGTTACCTCACCATGATCAGGTTCTCTCAACAAGTAAGCCATTCCTTAGCGCTTTCTGTTACTGAACTTTAAGTGCAGAATTTTGAGGATCACACCCCTAAACCTCAGTTGAGAAATCAACCAAATAAGCTGCTGCAGGTAAAATTCTAAGGTAGCCTTATCCGTCTAACATGCAGCCTTTGTTGGCCTCGGCCCGTCCGCTGATCAGGCTGTCCCAGAGCAATCGGAAGCTGCCTGGTGCTGGACGTGGCACTGCTGGACATGGTATTTTGAGACTTGTCTTTGTAAAAAGAACATACCTCATAATGATAGAAATAAAAATAATTAAAAACTCCACATTGCCCATCTGTAGGAACAATGTTCATTCCCAGGGAGAAATGCCCCCTGTTTCTATTGTTTGATATTTACCTTTATTAGACCTTTGGGCATAATAGAGAGCAAAATGTGTTTCACTAATTACATATGTTTTAATTACCAATTACAATGTTTTAACTTGAGAAAACAGTAGACAAACCTGGAAATGTGTTTTATGCCTCAAAATGACCAAAACAAAAAATAATATGGAGTCCTCAACTCATTGTCACACACATTTTCTCATCCCAGGTTGCTCACAGTTCACCAAGTCAAACCAATTAAATTGTGTTCAGTTGTGGGATGACTGAAGTTCATTCTGCAGTGCATTAAAGTCAAAACTTAAAAAAAAAAAAAAAAAACAAACAAAAAAAACCCAAAAAAACCCAACCCAAAACAAATGAA